CACACCCACACCCACACCCACACCCACACCCACACCCACACCCACACCCACACTCACACCCACACCCACACTCACACCCACACCCACACCCTCCACCGAAGGGCGTTCAGCCCACCCCATGATGACATGAGCCCACCGCAGAAATATTTTTGTTCTTATTATAAATAAATTCTTTCTCACTTTCAAAGCTATTACGAGCAGAGTGAGCGACATGTATCAGTTGATCCTATTCAATAATCGATGTTTGTATTCGATTGAAGGAAAAATCAGATCGATTTGTAAAGTTAACGAAGAAATTCATGCGCTTTTTTGATGAAAGAAATTATTTCCTCACTTCTTATTGTGAGAAGTTTTCGATTTGGTAATACCATTATCGATGCGCATTCCCAAGAAGATTATCGAAATTCTCTATTCAGATTTGAATTGTGAATTCTATCGAGAATGAGCTTCTATTCCAAAGATGTCATATGAAATCTCTTGCTACTGCTTTCATGAACAACCCGAGAATGGCCGCCCACGATGGCATTGTGTTTAGGACTCCATAGAATTGAAGACACTTTTGAGTAACTTGTTCATCCAGAAAAGTTCTCGTAAACTATGTCATATAAACTAAACATCAACATTGAATGTTTATGTAAATGTCGGACAACAGACAGTTATGAATACATCTGAAGTTTTTATATCGTTAGAAACACAATCAATTGAATCATTATCAGATAAACAAATACAACAAGTGGGTGATGCTTCAATTCGTCTACCATCAACAGTTCAAACGAACTCAAGTATAAACTCCATCGTTTCGATTCGAGCATGTTTGTTTTTCTATTTTCTCATTTAATAAATTGTTTTAGTCAATAATGGAACCATTACCATCCTATGGTAATACCGAATCATCATCTAATACAAATGTTTCAACATCAGTTTCACTTTCGATTGTTGATCAATATGGAAATAAAGTCGCTATTGAAGCAAATCATAGTCATCCAATTGAAATCATCATTCCATGTGATCCTAATTTGATCATCCCAACAATGGTACTACAAAATGTCACTAATTCCACACTTCATCAACAATTATTCAATTTACATTATGTAAATATCACCAGTATTCTGTCAATTTCAGTTCATTTTGAACTTCATCCATTGAATTTGAATATTTCGTATTTATTAATTTATAAATTTGATCAAATACCATAATTAAATTCTTCAATCAATCAAATTGATGGTTGGACAATTCTTTGTCCTACAAATGAAAGTATTTATACGTTCTTTTTCGATAATCAGCGTACTCAAAGTCATCAATCACTCGTTTTCGATTTACGAGAATTAAATTCCACAGAATCTGTTAATTATTGTTCGAATTCTCAACTGATCAATCCACCAATTACAAATAAACGATTTAATTTCACATCGAATTATGAATTGAGAATCTATATATCCGGTTGTTATTATCTCAATAAAAATAATCAATGGAAATCAGATGGATTACGTGTTGGTCCACTGACTAATCATAATGAAACACAATGTTTTTCAACTCATTTAACAACATTTGCAGGTGGTTTTCTTGTCTTACCTGAACCAGTCAATTGGCAATATGTTTTTGCTCATACTAATTTGATGAAAAACAAAACTGTTTACTTGACTTTTATCTGTGTCGCTTTGATTTACTTTATTCTAATGATGTATGATCGTTATAAAGACAGAAAAGATGATAAAAATATTGAACGTGTTTTACCTGTTGCCAATGAAATGGTGAAGAGTCAATTTTCTTATTTGTTAACGGAGCAAGCGTTCATCAGTGTATCTGATGATCATTTATGCTTTTTGATTTTTTGACGACTAGCATCGAATCAATTTACAGGTGTTCAACAATGTACTTTTTGTTTTGTTTTATTATTTTCTCTCAATGTATCTCAATATAATGTATTATAGTTTAAAATTAGGTATACTTGTCATTGCACACGAACATATTGGTTTTGGTATCATCATTGCATTATTAGTCGAAATCTTTCGACGACTTCGACCATGTCGAAAACCTATTTCTCAATTAAAACAATTGAAAATAAAGAAACAATAAAATAAAGCAGAAACTTCGGATTCAAATCCGAACGTTATGTGTACTTCAAAAAGTGAAATAGAACTACTGGCAGATTGAATAAGAGTGAGGGTATTGAGGGCGAGGATAAGGGTAGGGATGTAGCAGGTAAGAGTGTTTCGAGTGAGGGCAAGGATTCCAGGGTGAGGATATTGAGGAGGAGAGTGATATTCCTTCGTGTGATATACTATCTTTTTGTAGCTCTTGACAAGTTTTATCTGCTCGAAAAAAAATTTTGACCCAACGAGAAATAAGCATATGTTAGGCAGATAATTGTCGCGATATATGAGTTTTCCACTGTTTTGGTAAAGCCTTGGAGGAAGAAAATTTTTAACACAACATAATTACCCCTATAATTTAATATCATTTTGTAGCCCGTGAAATTCTCTATCGAACGGTATATAAAAGTCGGGGTTTCGTTTTAACTATATGTGAAATCGTGGCTTACGGAAATTGGAATGTGTCAATGTTTCCATAAAAACTATAGAAAATAGCGAAAGTTCATGCTGAAAATCAGTAAATCCTTGACGATTCATTCCTGTCTTCGAACTCGACCGAGATATTTATGAGATAATGCTCTGTAGAAAATTTCATGATAGTTAGACTCTCCTTTCAAAAAATATCGTGTAAACGGTCGGTCGGCTGGACGAACGTACTGACCGATTCTAGTGCACTCACTTTTTGAGTACACAAAAACAAAATAATAATGAAGATGATTGGCTCCCTTATGATTAACATTTTCATTATTTAAATATAAAATAAAATAATCTAGATAATTATTTCCCTTTATTTCATTTTTTGTCGAAAGAAGACTTTCTCCTATATATTAAACAACATGATATTTTTATGAGTAAAGTTCTTGTTGGTTGAAAAGTTGGAGGTCAGATCGTATAATCTTGCCAAAAGATCCGACAATATCGTTATACTTTTGTTTTAGCAAAATTGTTCTGTTTATTTCAACGCTATTACGAGTACAAGGATAACTTGTAATTCGTCTCTATCATCTTAAATTTTTCAGATCAAAGAAGGATGTGGGTATGGGTGGGTGTGGAGTGTGGGTGGGGTGGGTGTGGGTGGGTGTGGGTTGGTGTGTGGGTGTGGGTGTGAGTGTGGGCGTGGGTGGGTGTGTGGGTGTGGGTGTGAATGTGGGTGTGGGTTGGTGTGTGAGTGTGGGCGTGGGTAGGTGTGTGGGTGTGGGTGTGAATGTGGGTGTGTGGGTGTGGGTATGGGTGTGAATGATGGAAGTACCCACACCCACCCACACCCACCCACACCCACACCCCCACCCACATCCACACCCACACCCAGCCACACCCACACCCCTACCCACATCCACACCCACACCCAGCCACACCCAGCCACACCCCCACCCACATCCACACCCACACCCAGCCACACCCACACCCACACCCACACCCACCCACACCCACACCCATCCACCCACACCCCACACCCCACACCCACCCTTGGCAACGAAAATTGTAATCTGTACGGTCCCGGTTTAGCGAAAGGCCTCGTCAGAACAGATACCACCGACTGGAAAACTAGACTAATGTGATTCCTACCTGAGAATATATAGCAAACAATCACTAAATGAAGGCTAATCTTCTGGAACTGTGTTACAGTTATCCCGAGTGGCTAGAATTCGAGTCAAATGTATTATATAATAGAAAAAGCATGTGCACCGATGAATTAAGTGATGAATGTACTAGGAGGAAGGCACTGAAAGAATCAAGAAAAAAGACATTTCGCCGTCCGTTGTTTACATTCTAAACTGTGATGAAAATACAAGTTATTTTTAAACTGTTGTCCATCACTGTAAAAAAAACTAAGTACATCAAGGATGTGAAAAGTTTAACAATTGCATTCAATGTTGAAGAACAGGAACTTTGGCAGTTAATTATGGTATGTTTTTACAAGCCCCAGGCTCCAGATCCTCCATTGACTTTGCCTTCGATATTTTTTGTTTTCCATCCGCCATAAAAGTCACCTGGTTGTGCTTCAACTTTCTCTTCATTGACATAGCAATCCCATGGTCCAACGTAAAAACTATAATAATCTTTTATATCGGAATACTTCCCATTACTCCCATTTGGATTACCATATGACCATATTCGTGAACTTACAACCGACTGATTATCAGGTGGATGGAAGTCATAATATGATGCTAAACCCTTCCACTGACAGTACGATGACTTGTTGTTACGTTTGAGATATTCTTGTTTGACATCTTTCGGAGGAATGTAGTATGTGGGAGGATGACTTGTTTCCAACATGCGCAGTGCACTAGTTGTATCAGCCAGTACCACTTGATTATAGACAACTCTGAGACGTGCTTGAACTGGTTCAATGGCAGGTGAACGTGGATAATCCCAGACATTTTCTTTAGGAAGATTACTGACCATACTTGCAACTCTGACGAAGAAGAAGAACAAAGTGCTTTGAAAGAAATGACAGATTATTTTCTTTCCCCTGATTGACTTACTTTTGAATCAAATTTACACTCTTCTTTATTAATGTAAAATATAAACCCACCGATCTGGAATTATATAGTACAAAACAATAACGTTTTTATCTATAAAAAAGTTAGTGTTTTCAGAAAATCTATATTAGATAAGAAAAACATCTTTCTTATACAACACAACGATGTTCTATCTTCTTTCTTTTCTTTTCTTTCCTCCTTTCCTTTTCCTCACAATCACTTTGTGCTCCTTCAAAAATTAAGTCATTAATTTTTCGTAAGTTTTGGATGTCCTCCAAAATGTGTGCGAAAATCGCATGTAGTAAAATATAAGTGTAGATAGCTAAACCATTCCCTCTCTTTGATTATGGCATTTGAAAGCAGGACCTTATGTAACGATAATTTTTGTAAAACACGATCTGAAAGGAGTGTTGAAGTGTTTAGGGGCAGAAATTTGCACCCCCCCCCCCTCCCCCCCCCACAGACCGTGACAGAGAACCCCCGGAGACCATCACAGACTGTGACAGAGAACTTCAGAGACTATCACAGACCGTGATAGAGAACCCCCGAAGACCATTGCAGACCGTGACAGAGAAACTGTAGTTTTGAAGCATCAAATAAACGGTAAGCTACAAATTTATCTTGAAGAAATGGAACAAAACGATGTCCATTTAATCAGTAACAATATGTCCATCGTGTTTCACATTTTTAATCCTCCAAGGGATTGCGCTAACAGTTTTTATTCTTTACTTTGTTCTCTTTTTCTTTCTTCGTTCCATAATCGCTTATATAATATAATTTTACATTCTAAAAATTGATGCATCTTATTTAAGATACTAAGTCTTTTAAGAATAATAAATATCCTGTGCCTTAACAATAAGAAGCATGAGCTAAGACACTTAGTCGGATCAAAATAAGACCAAAGCTTATTTCAAAAATAAGACATATCATTCAATGTAAAAAAATAATGCATCTTATTTAAGACACTAGACCGGATCAAAAGAAGATTAAAGCGTCTTATTTTATGAATAAAACACATCATATGTCTTAACAATAAGTCACATAAAATAAGACGCATCAATGGGTCTTATTCTGTTTATTTTTGTGATCTCAAAATATTTCTTCCCTTCAAAAATGCCTTTGATGCAAGGAAAAAATTTCTGCATTGTGCGCTGTGATTCGCTTATCACTTTCTGTTATCTTATCTTAGAGCTTTACCAGAAAATCGAACAAATAATTGATTTGTCGCATGTTGCTTAAAATAAGACGCATGTGGTGTAAGACACATATAAGACGCATTATTTTTTAGAGTGTACACTAAGAAAGAATGACAGAACAGGACAGACACAGCTTACAATCGGACACGAAGAATATTTCTGTGTGAATGGGTAGTAGTTAGAATCAGCAGCCTGATTTTATTTTTAGACAAAAGAACTTGTCAAACAGTCAAGAGATTCAGCGAATCGCTTCGATTTACGTTACTTGTATAGTAACTTACAAGAAAAAGAAAATTGTGAGGAAACAGATATTAACTATAATGTAATGAGATGGAGAGTTCTATGAAATGAATGTTTTTTTAATAGATAAGAAAAATATAGAGAACAATTAGTTGTCCAAATATAGTAGTAACGATGGCATCGGAGAGAGAAGCGAGAAGATCGGTTGCAGATCTATGACATTTTTCAGAAATGTTGTGTTCTAACAAATAAGAGAAAATATAATGCAAGTGGAAAAACGCAGAGAATAATGTATGTCTCTTTCTGCTGTGTCATGTTTGATGTTAAACTGTCATAATAATAATTTCGTTATATGATCGTCAACCGCTCTCTCTTTTTGTATATCCTGTTGTGTGGTACTTATGATGAGGGACTCTTTTTTCTGCTATAGTTTTTCCATTTTTCATTTCAGTGGAATAATCAAAAATAATGGTTAGGAGTATACCTCTTTTATTTCATCTTCTCTATCAATTAGCGTTTGATAGAAGAAAAAACGGATAATGAATAGGCAATCCAAGAAACTATCTTCTTCAAGGTCGTTTACTCAGAAAAGTATCAGTAACGGGAATAAAAACTCAAAAAAAGTAATAAGAGGGAGCACTCTAACAGTGATAGTTTTTCTGATTTTGGACAGGAGTTTTAAAAGTTTTAAAGTAGACTTCCTTGTTCAGTGAGAATATATTAATTTTCTTGCCCTAAAGAGAGTCAGCATAAGAAAATCTTTTTTGACGTTTCAGTTTAGGTTTTGAATTCAGAAAAATCTTGCGGAACATCACTAAGCCTGATCTGAAACGATCGAAATAGTGATGTTTTTCTTCATCAGAATGGCACAACTATCATTTCTTCATCTCATTCATTATGAATAATTTCTCCCTCGTTAGTTCTTTTTTTCCAAAGAGATGCATGTACAAAGAAGAAGAAGAAGAGTTTCATGTGTTTCAACAGACAAGTGACAGGATAGAACAATCCTTTTTGAGTGATCTGATCGAATACAAAAGGAGAATTGAAGCAACAAACCACCTTCGATAAATTCTAAAACAATAAAATCAAAATGCTTGTCTAATTCATTTTTTTAGCGGTCTTTAAAAGATGACAGTCATTATACCATTCCACTTTTGCAGAGAAAAGAAGTGTATAAAAACTGGTCTTGGCAAAGAAAGAAAAATGTCATGAGAGAAGTAGTAGATAAAAGGGTAGAAAATAGTGAAATGCAAAAAGAAAGCGGGAGTTTAAAAAGAGACTTTTTGTTAAAAATGTGCAAATAACGTTCGACGGTTGCATTTGTAACGCGAAGAAGGCCATTGACAGTAAGACTAAAGTTTTATATGACCCACTCAAAGCAACAGGTATCCGATGGAGGGATGACTGAATTACTATTGTAGAAGAACTGCAAAGTAATAGGAAGTTCAGTAGCATACTGAAAAGAAGAACAGAGATGAGTTGTTAGAGGTTTCCACCTTGCCTGAATAAATGTAAAACGAATTAGACAGAAAATTATTTGATCTTGTTGATGACTTTTCTTTTAGAGGAACGTTTTTTCTGAGTTTGACGATGAAACAGAGAATAATTATGGAAAAAAGTGCTGATGGAAATAAGTAGAATTTGATTTGGTTAGAGTTAGACCTTTTTGACAGCTGAATGCGATTCGAATACTTCAATAAGAAATCTTGGTTGATGAAGTCTTTTTTTATCTCTTTGTATGTGTATGGGTGTGTTTCGCTCACTTTTTTCCTTCATTTTTTTTAATGCGTGATTATTACAGTTGTTCATTCAGCGGAATAATCAAAAGTTATTTTTATTTCACTCTACGCTAGCAATTACTGTTTGATAGAAAAAAAAAGATGAATAGAGAATCAAACAAGAAACGTGTTTTCTTCAAGGCTGTCTATTTTTAAAATACCATTATACAGTGAAAAAAGCAAATAAGAAATGACGATGCATTCTTCGTGCTAACAGTGGTCTCTACAACACAAGTTTGCACTGACAACCAGAAGATCTCTTCCAGGCACTAGAGAATATATGTCACGATACTTTCGACACAGATGTTCTAAAAACGATTTTTCATTCGATCTATTGAATTAGTCTACGTTTGGGACTGTCTCCATTGACTGTGTACGATCAGAGACACATTTCTACACTTAAAAAAATGGTTACGACTCAAAGAGTTTGTCACTATTGAACGGATGAAATCTATGAATACAACAATACAATGCCAAAAATGCACTGTACAATCGGGGTAGCGGTGAACTCGGTAAAACTGACGAGGGAACCTTTTCAACTGTCCAATCGCTTTTGAGTTCGAACTCAGTGTGAAAGATAGACCCCAGTGAGGTATGAAAAGGCCCAAAAGGATAAGTGCCCATAGGCCTTCTGTCCAGAGTTATAGGCATTTTACTGGATTTTTAGCCTATGACACAGTATATACCAAAAAATCGAATGACAATATTTCGAGCTGAGATTGTGTCCAAAGATAGGTCTATGTACCAATAGAATGCCCTGAAAATTTCAGCTCAAAAGAATGTT